TTTAAAAAGAGCTAAAATCATGACTGTCATACATACAGAAAAGTGAACACGTGTTAAAGAGTTTATTATAGTCCTAAATTGGTGAGAGAACCAAGCAGATATTATCGAATGTGAACAACAGACACATTTATTGATCGGGAATATTGAAATGAATGTGCAAATGGAGGCAAAACAGGGGAGGGGAGTCAGTTGGTGTTCCATAGGACAGTTCAGAATCTGCAGTCTATAGACAAGAATGGTTTGGCATTGACTATCAATTCCTACAATCCTCAGAGTTCATGGACTAGAATCAGGTAATCCCAGGAGTGCCCCGCAGAGTCAAGATAACGCAGAGCTTTTGCACAGATATAGGAATATTTTCTTACAACCCTGACCTCCAAAGCCCCTCACCTGGCCACATCAGCCCACATCTCATCCAGGAATCCTCCCTGGCTCCAGACTGGGGTAGGTGACACCCACTGGTCTCCCCCAGTCCTTGAACTTCTGATCACTGTTCTCTCTCCCCCATCAGACTTAGGAGATTCTTAAAACCAGCTGTGTCTTCTCTATCTTTCATTGTGCCTGTGAGAACTCGAGAGACATTTTTTTACAAAATTATTGATTTGAAAGAGAGAGAGAGAGTAAGAGTGTGAGAAACATTGATTTGTTGTTCCACTTATTGATGCATTCATTGGTTGATTCTTTGTTTGTTTGTTAAATATATTTTTATTAATTTCAGAGAGGAAGAGAGAGGTAGAAACATCAGTAATGGGAGGGAATCATTGATCGGCTGCCTCCTGCACATTGGACCGAGCCCGCAACCCAGGCATGTGCCCTTGACCGGAATCGAACCTGGGACCCTTCCGTCTGCAGGCCGACACTCTATCCACTGAGCCAAACCAGCTAGGGCCATTGGTTGATTCTTATATGTGCTCTGACCAGGGATGGAACCCACAACCTTGGCGTATTGGGACAACGCTCTACCCGGCCAGGGCTCAGAAGACATTTGTTGACTGAGTTAGAGAACAAAGGAACAATATGGAGTCCTGAAACTAGGGTGGTCCATGGTGTGCCGCCAAAGGCAGTGAAAGAGCTGGGAGGCAGCAGTTGAAGGTCAGTAGTGCCTCATGAATGTGTGGAGGTTTCAGGCTTGAACATAATAAGGGCTCCTCAGAAAGAGGGTTCCAAGAGCCAAGGAGCTTGGAAATGCTGGGTCAGACCCACACATGTGTGTTTGCTTTTTCCTTGGAACCGCAGCACTTCAGGAGCCTTTAGTGCAACGGTTCTCAACCTCTGGGTCGCGACCCCTTTGGGGGTCGAACGACCCTTTCACAGGGGTCGCCTAAGACCATCGGAAAACACATATATAATTACATATTGTTTTTGTGATTAATCACTATGCTTTAATTATGTTCAGTTTTTAACAATGAAATTGGGTGTCACCACAACATGAGGAACTGTATTAAAGGGTCGAGGCATTAGGAAGGTTGAGAACCACTGCTTTAGTGTATCAAAGTGACCTATGAATCTCTCAGAAGGAAAATGCCATGTTCCAGCGTTTTCTAAGCTTATCTGATGATGGGGCTTTTTTTTTTTTCTTTAATTGGAACAAAGATGAAGGTTCTGGAGAATGTACATTGCGAAACAGCAATTCCATCCAACCTGCCCGATTGACTTAATACATGCACTACGGGTGCCTGGGTCAGGATGCCGTGAGCAGCATCAGCCCTCCGGTGGCCTTGGATACGTTCCTTAATGTCTCCACAACCCACTGTCTCCGTCTGTAACGTGGAGCCAGAGAGAGAACTCGCCTCAATGCTGCTGGGAGGGTTCAGTGAGTTACTGTGAGGGGAACGCTTAGCACAGAGCCTGGTACGGTGTGTACTCAATAAATGTTAGCCGTGTCGTCGTTATTCATGAGAGCACAAGGTACCATTTACTGACGGCCTCCTCTCGCCTGACCCTCGCCACCACCCTGAGGCCAGAGGAGGAAGAGGAGGCAGAGGAGGATAGAGCCCTTTGGAGGTGAAGTCCCTGGCCCGAGGCCTGAGAGCCGGCAAGCGGCCCAAGTTCTTGGACCAGGCGCAAGGCCCCAAGAACAAGCTAGCCGAGGGCTTGGCATGAAGTAGGTGCTTAATAAAGACTCTCTTTTTTCGATCCTGCCCTTCTCCCTCCTTCCCTTCCAGCCCACAGTCATGCTGAGCCCCAATCTGAGGGTCACCTCTGGCCAGGGCTAAGGTGGATGGACAGTGCTTGAGGCCAAGGCTCCCAGGTGGTTGGGCGGGGCAAGACCTAGGCTGAACCTGACTTCCATCCCAGCTGAGGTCCTCCCTTCCCTCCTCTTCCTCATCTTCCTCATGCCTCAGCCTCTGTGTGCTCCCTCAGGTATTTGGGGATGTGAGAATCCAGGGGTCCCTCCTCTTCAGCCATCCTGATGACAGGGCTTCCTTCACTCTCAAAACACAGAAGGAGCTTAAAGTCAGTGTTGATCCCATGCATAAAGGAAGGAAGCCAGTGTTCTGGGGCTTGAGTGGGCCTGCCAGGCCACCTGAGGCTGTCCACAGGATAAACACAGGTTCCCCC